TCTTTGACAAAGGAGCTGAAGGCATACAATGGAGAAAAGAAAGTCTCTTTAACAAATGGTGCTGGGAAAACTGGAAAGCCACATGTAAAAGAATGAAAATTGACCATTCTTTTTCACCATTCACCAAAATAAACTCAAAATGGATCATAAGGCTTCTGGAAGAAAACGTAGGCAGTACACTCTTTGACATCAGTATTAAAAGGATCTTTTTGGACACCATGCCTTCTCAGAGAAGGGAAATAATAGAAAGAATAAACAAATGGGACTTCATCAGACTAAAGAGCTTCTTCAAGGCAAAAGAAAACAGGATTGAAACAAAAAAACAACCCACTAACTGGGAAAAAATATTTGCAAGTCATATATCTGACAAAGGCTTAATATCCATAATATATAAAGAACTCTCGCAACTCAACAACAAAACATCAAACAACCCAATCAAAAAATGGGCTGGAGACATGAACAGACATTTCTCCAAAGAAGATATACGGATGGCCAATAGGCACATGAAAAGATGTTCATCATCGCTGATCATCAGGGAAACGCAAATCAAAACTACACTAAGATATCACCTTACACCCGTTAGAATGACAAAAATATCTAAAACTAATAGTAACAAATGTTGGAGAGGTTGTGGAGAAAAAGGAACCCTCATACACTGCAGGTGGGAATGCAAACTGGTGCAGCCACTATGGAAAACAGTATGGAGATTACTCGAAAAATTAAAAATAGGACTACCATACGATCCAGCCATCCCACTACTGGGTATTTATCCAAAGAGCTTGAAGTCAGCAATCCCAAAAGTCCTGTGCACCCCAATGTTTATTGCAGCATTATTTACAATAGCCAAGACGTGGAAGCAACCTAAGTGCCCATCAACAGATGAATGGATAAAGAAGATGTGGTACATATATACAACGGAATACTACTCAGCTGTAAAACAGAACAAAATCATTCCATTTGCAATAACATGGATGGACCTTGAGGGAATTATGTTAAGTGAAATAAGCCAGCTAGAGAAGGATAATCTGTGTATGACTCCACTCATATGAGGAATTTAAAACTATGGACTAAGAACAGTTTAGTGGATATCAGGGGAAAGGTGGGGTGGGGGGTGGGCACAAAGGGTGAAGTGGTGCACCTACAACATGACTGACAAACATTAATGTACAATTGAAATTTCACAAGATTGTAACCTATCATTAACTCAATAAAAAAAAAAAAGAAAACAATATTCAAGGGAAAAGGGCCATGGTTCTCAGGTGGCTGCAGGGCTTCTGGCTCACTGCCTCAGACTTCAGTTCAGAAAGAACTGGTGGGAAGCAGGTCAGTTACGGTCAGCTGGCCTGGTTCCCGTCTCAGATTCACCACTCATTAGCACTATGACTTTGGCAACTCACCTAGAGCTTCTGAGCCTATTTCCTCATTTACGTAATGGAGAGAATACCTGTCTCACAGGGGGTTCTGAGGATTAAATGAGATGACACAAGTTAGGTACTCAATGCTACTAACATTTTCATTCCCTGCCTTGTACGCAGAACTGGGGTGGAAGAACACTCAACAAGCTGTTTGCTGCAATATATATATTTTAATTCAAAGTGAATCGACAATAATACACCATAAATTTTTATTTTGACACTCACCAAAATAGTCACCTGGAAAACCCGCTTTTTGTGACAAAGTACAGAAGGCTTGGTCACATTTAAATCACTGAGAACTAGAGAGAAATACTATCGCAAACCGTAATAGACATTACATCCATAAAAATTTTCCCAGTCCTTATTGTAATATTGCACAGTGCAATTGCTACATGGCAAACTAGTGTAGCATAGAAGGAAAAGCAAAAACAAACCAAAGAAAGAAAGCCACGAGTCTAACATTGTTAACAGTTAACAGTTCAAACTTAGTAATCAACTATCGTTGGACTCGTTAAAACAAACCTCCTACACCTTGCAGTGTATGATTTAACTTTTACTTAACACAAACCAAGTTGAAAATTAGTAGTAGAGATTTTAAAAATGAAAAGGTTTTGCTACTATAGTAACATATTTAGTTAAATACCCTGAAGAAAAAGAAAACTAAACATTAGGATATTTGACAAAAAATAATAATTTGCAAATTAAAATAGTATGCAAATATGCAACTAGGAAGTCATGCAGTGTTTTATTTAAGAAAACATTAAAATCAAATAAAACTGATAAAAAGGATTTTAAAGAGGGTATAAATCCAGATTCTTCTGTCAATATGTGAAATTTAGACTTTAGCAGGATTTTGAAAATTTTTATTTTTAAACACATAAAAAGCCCATGATTAGAATCAGTTAAGGACAGTGTACTTAACTGGGGTACGCTCTTATCAAATAGTACTATTATATTACGAAAACAGTGAAGTTTACCATTTACTGTCAATTTAACAAGGCCATCTCAGTCTTCGAACTGAAATACAGTAAATACGACACATCAGGGGAGTACACAAGGCTCCAAACTAAAGGAAAACTGCGCCAGTTTTGTACCTGTTGTCAAATGAACACCAATCAACCCTTTGCACGTGGTGTTTCTGAAACACCTGCTGCCAGCATTTAACTCTTTTCCAAGAAATGTCAAGATGCCGTCATCTGCTGGACCATGTCGATAAAATCAGAAGGCTGTGGAGGGCAGCAAGTTTCCTCAAATAGCAACTCCATAAATTTGCTATCTGTAAATAATCCTTTAAATTAATCTTAGGCTACTCCTTTTTCATGTGTAATATACATATATTTATATAAAATGCATAGAATTGATTACTAAAAACACTGAAACTTGTGGGGAAAATTAAGTCCTTCATTTTCAGTGTGACTTAAAAATGTACTGCTGGTTTTTATTTAATGATCTAATACTGTAATTTTTAAAATCAATCTCAGGCACATTTATTTCATTGGCGATTATTAAATAAAACACTGCCTGTGTTAATGGAGCAAAGAAAAGTTTACCCATTATTAGCTCATCATCAATGCTGTCCAAGAGCTGCACTAGTGGTATGCAATTTATCTGTCAAAGAAATGCTGTCAATCCAAAACATCTGGAGAGTTTTACCCTCAAATGATTTCTTCTACTGTTTATTCCAGTAAATGCTGTAAGATTATATTCCAGATTTTTTAAGGAAAAAAAGTTAAGTCAAGCCTGCAAGATACAGTTTTCTCAATTGTCTACAATGCCAGTATGAAAATAAAAAATTAAGTTACATTGATACATCCAAGTTTTTTATATGCAGTGATGAGCACAAACATTAATAGATAAAATACTGATGCAAATAACACACCCCAAAATAACATATGCAATTATTTTCCATCATTTACAATACAGTAGTTACAATGACACTCCAAACAGAAGAGCAAAGTAAAAAAATCAAAACCCCAAATTCTAGTTCATGTAATTAGACTTATACAGAAATTAGAAGGCTAAATAACAACTAGTCACCTAATTTCACAGCTATCTGAGTGGCAATCTTATATAGCAGCTTATCTATGATACATTCAAGATAAATGATACAATGTATTATTCGCCCATAAGCTAAAACACAGCCAGTTTAATACCTTTTCTTAAATTCCACTCTATACTACAATATACTTGAGGTCTATGCAAAAAGTAGCTACCTTTTATAGAGGAAATGGATGATTAAGTCTTTGGTGCTGTAAAAGCAACTTCATTTAAACATCACCACCACCAAAAAAGAAAAAAGAATAAGAAGGGAAAAACCCAAGACATACCTCCTAGGAGAAAAAGCATGTAATTTCTGTCCCTGACGGAATGTATTAAATAAGCAAACACCACCACCAAGCAAAACGAGTCCTACAACGGAAAATACTCCAAAAGAACCCAAACCCGCTCACATGCATAAATGAAGAATTGCACACAAATAACTCACATCTTTTCAAGCTTCAATAGTAAATATTCTGCTACTATTTATTAAATACTGCATGGTGTGCCCAAGCTAAGATGAAACCACATCATGAATCAATGAGTATTTTGCATTTTCTTTCATTATCTACTCAAAGTCATGCCTACTGCACCTCTAAACATTGTATAAATCCAATTATATAGCAAACACTCCCCAAAGAAACGTAGATTGTATTGCAGTTTCACTCGACAATATATAAAATGCTGTGCTGTGACAGCCATCAACTATCCATTAGATACTGAATCAATTTTTCGTAAGCACTACTAACTGCTTGCTTTCTTGAAGCTAGATCATTCTGGATATCAGACAGCAGAATTCAGCAATAGCAAACATGCTGCCCTCTTAGTAAGGAGAAAACAGCTATGACCTGAAATCATACCACACAAAACCAAAAATGAACACTACTCTATCAAAAGAAAACCCAAGAGCAGGTCTGAATTTAAGTGCTGCAGTCCTCAACATTTATAGATAGGAAATAACATTAACAACCTCAAATATTTAAGGCACTATGTGTGGGAACGGTTTACAATGTAGCTGAGATTATTAGAACAACATTTAAGAGCAAAGTCTAGGCAACGTTTTGCCCATGCAAAGACACATGCAAATGTAAAGAACAATAGCTCAATTTCTTAGGTAAGTGACCCAACATTTACACACTAAGACACAGATAATACAATTCACTTGTATGCTGTAATTCTGACACATGTGCATCTGTTGCTCTAAGTCTGTACACAGAATGGCTTCCCAAACACGGACGTGTCTTGCACTAGTTAGAAGGCAATTTTATAAAAAATAGCAGGAGCAAAACTGGACTTCTGCTCCCATAAGTCACCTGTCTAGAGTTACTACGTAAGAAGATAACATGACTAAAGACAAGTTATACCAAATGTGCAAAACACATTAAAAGTGAGTTTTTTTAAAGCTCAAAGTTGTTTAAATTGCACCCAAGTCTACATGATTCAAAAATAATTTTCTTGTGCCATGGCTAATATTATTAAATACCATGTTTTTACTTTTAATCAAATGTTTAAATCATTGAGCTTCCTCAATATACTCTTTTTGAGTTTTCACATATATGGATACTGGCTGAGTTTTGTTGGACTCAATGGAAATCCAGTATATGCAGGTGAGGCTGTAATGTAAGAATGTGGTGGGAAGATTGGTTTGTACTGAGTCTGATGAATGGTTGGGGATGGTAACAGACGGGGATTTATGCCCATCGGAACTTGGTGAACTATGCCACTGGGATGGGAGATATTATAACTTGGATGCTGTAACACAGGTCTTGAGGTACACGGAGAGGCTAAGAGGTGGGCCACTGGCGCAGCACTACTGAGGGCAGCTGACGATGGGTATGGAAGCAGAGTAGGCTGTCCCCCAAGGTGCGTGTTCCCAGCCAGATGGGCATGCACAGTTGTGTGACTGGGACTTCCATGAGAGAAAGTGAACGGATTACTGGTAACACTTGTGGGGATATACGCTTGCTGTCTTCGATGCCCAAAGTTTCCATTCCACTCCTGATGCCCAGATCCGAAGTGCTGAACCTAACCAAAAAAAACCCAAAAAACAAAAAAAGGAATGAATATTTTGTAAGTTAAAAAGAAAGGAAGAAAGGGAAATACAATATACTCTGTGACTGATATAACCCAGACGATCTCTCAGATCTTAGCTTATACTAAATATAGAGAAGAGAAAAATAAGAATTTTATATAAATTAGTATTAACATTTTAATATTCATGACTACATGTCATTATAATACTAACACTGCCACTACCACTGCCAGTATCCCCATCCCCACCACTACTAACAGCTACCATTTGTGGAGCACTTATCATATGTAATGCTAACACTTCACGGACACGATGTTACTTAATTCCAAAACGACCCCGCAGTCCAGCAATTATTTCCACTAACTGTTTTCCAGATTTGTTGAAGAGACCTGGCCAAGGTCATATACACAGCACTTGGCAAAACCAGGACTTGAAGCAGGTCTGACTCCCAATACCTGTGATCTTTTCTTTCCCCAAGTGAAACACAAGTGCTGAGCCCAGTGCTGAACAGATGGAAAGTACTCAGCAAGGTCTCTCTCACCATCACCACCACTAACACCTAACCAAGGGAGCCATCAGTCCATTAGCGTGCACTCTGATTTAAAGGGTCTAAGATACAAACACAATAAAAAATTATTTAAGAGAATCTAAGAGCCTAACCTTTCTGAAGAATTCAGGTTCTAGGATCGTCTGCTTACTTATCCTATTGTTAGGCCAATTACTCTTTAGTCACTTGGGATAACGAAAAGGGATACAATTATTAAGACTGCATAATTTCAGAATCGTTTCTTCCCCCCAAGTGAAAAACTGCTGGATCTGAATCCCAAAGACTCTCATAAACTCACAGACATACCTGACTGAAGTTCAAAGGCTGCTGCTGGAATGCTGATGTCAGTTTTGGCTGACGATTACCCGCTGTGGAAGGCTGGTTTAGTCTTCCAGGAGCAGATCGTCCTTTTATTAATGGCTGGCATATAGAATCTGGCAACGAACAAAATATAAAAGAGTTGATGTTTTTTCCTTCTCATATAAAAATTAGAAGGGTCTTAAGACATTATACACAACAGTGACTTGAGAACCTTAAAATGAAATAAAAAGAAAAGAGATCTCATGGTTTCCAAGCACTGAATGATACCTGGAGAGATTTATTTTGTACAATATATTCGGCAAGGTCAAGTTGGAAATTCAGAGATGACTTTTGGCAATGCTGTTCTCTGATGTTCCCAAACGAAGACCTTTTAAGAAACAATCAGAAACAGGGAGGACTCGGTTTACCTGTATTTGCCATATGCTCTTCGGCATTTAATCCATTTTCTAGTCCCAGTGGTGGCACCACAACAGTACAGACAGCTGGTTTGGTTTCTGCGGCAGTTCCCAGTTCTGCGTTTCGAGACGTGTCCTCCACAAAACTGCGCTCTGCAAATGGACTGTCACGTCCCGAGGAGTCGGACGGTGGAGAGCCATCCACAGTATCGCAGCCACTTTCCTGCTCTTCATCTGACATGCTACAAGAGAGTATTTTTATGAATAATATGCTTTTCAACACTAAATCTAAAGTTAAATAATATCTAGGCTCCAGTAAATTGATGAGAATCTTATTCAGTTATTTCATATCTAATTATAACTTCTTCCTTATCCAGTAACATTTTTTCATAGATTTTTCTAGACTCTCACATTAATTCTCTCTTCAGACTGCTAACCCTAATTCTGTCCTGTTTAGGAACATCCTTTTGGCACTTAATTTTCTCTCTTTTCCCTGCCCACTTGATCCTTAGTAGCAGTCATAAAATTCCACTTTATAAATCCCAGAAAACTTCATCAAAACACTATAAAAGCAGTACTGTTGATAATTTAAATGAAATATACATAAGCATGTGACTTGGATATTTCAGAGTAAATTCTAATGTACCTAGGACATGTCTTGAGCAGTAATCTGGGTCCTCTTAACTGACCTGTTATCTGAAAGGTCTTCTCATTGTCTGAAGGCCTAACCAGAGTCTCGTATTTCTCTTCTCTTCCTGACTCTCTCAGGCCCTGACACTCTCTCTCTCCCTTTGGGATTTCTATGGCATTTATTATCTGTTTTAATCATTCATCTCATACTTAACAATTTGAAGTATCTTTTCATATGTATATTTTTAGTTATACACATTTATATATATACAAATTTTATACATATGTGTACACTTATGTAAATGTATGTATATGTCAACTTCCAAACCACGTTACAAGAAATTTATAAGAAGATGTATTAAATCTTTGTAGGGGCTGGGCCCGTGGCTGAGTGGTTAAGTTCAAGCGCTCTGCTTCAGCGGCCCAGGGTTTCGTCAGTTCGGATCCTGGGCACGGACATGGCATCACTCATCAGGCCATGCTGAGGCGGCGTCCCACATGCCACAACCAGAAGGACCCACAACTAAAATATGCAACTATGTACGGGGGGGATTTCAGGAGAAGAAGGAGGAAAGAAAGATTGGCCACAGATGTTAGCTCAGGTGCCAATCTTTAAAAAACAAAAAAAAAACCCCTTCTTTGTATCTTCCACAGAGCTTTGGTTATAGTATTCAATACTATATTTCCTGATTAAGGAAAAAAGAGAAGATAAATATACAGAATTAAAGCAAAAATTTTTCAAATTTTGTTTACGCTAAAAACAGAATTTCTAAAAGCTGGTTAGCAGAAGCTCACTGATTTTGTGACAATACAGGTCCTTGGCCAAAAAAGGGTAGGCAAGGAAAACTGGATGAAACCATACAAATCAATCATTAGAGAAGAAAATCATTGTGGATACCCTCCTGAGAGTGAGGCAACATTCTTTTTGCATTTTGCTGAAGTATATGTTCTTATTCCAGATTTAATGGTAGTCTGTGGAGCTGAATTTTGAGAATGCGGCTTTTTCACCCTTTCAAAAACAAACGATTCTTTAAAAATCATTTTAGAACCTCAATTTTTCATATAGATCTGTTCTATAACAATAAAGAAAATTATTACTTAAAACCTGAGTTTATAAAAAGTGATCTAATTCAAAACTTATGTTTAAGAGAGAAACCACTGTGGTGATCTGGCAGGTATGTATTAATTCAAACCACAACGAAAGAGATCACAGGCTTTCCAGTGGACTTTAGCGCACGGACCCTCTACGAGCACCGAAGCCTCACCTGCTTGGTCTCCTGCAAGGGGACGGGCTGGGCCGCCCCGAGGAGCTGCTGCTCAGAGTGCTGTCGGGGCTGCTTAAGGAGCACATGCGGCCGACGTTCAAAGTGCTCTGGCACGCTTCACAGTCCACACTGCCTTTACAGCTGCGGAGGGAGGGGGCAGCATGAGCCAAAACGAGGAGATACTCCCCAAGTAGCTAAAGTTTACACTCTCTAATTAAGGACATGAAACAATTGATAGTGACCTGCATGGACAAAATCTAGAGCTTACAAATACAAGAAAATGCTACAGGAATCATGTGAAATATTATTCAGGAAGTTTACTCCAAGGGACAGTGACAGGCAGCAGTAAGTCACAGCTGTTCCCACCATGCCAGGGGCACCACCAGAGCAGCTGAGGGTGCAGCACAAACACAGGGAGCCGCGCTGGCACTCACTCTCTGAGCGCATGTCTCTGTGCCGGCTCCTCCTCGTCAGTGTCGCTGCTGATGGTGATCACGCTGACTGCCGGGCTCGGGGAGTCGGCGATGACGATGGTTTGTCGCTGTCTGTCTGGAACCGAGGAGTCAGAGTCCTGCCTGACGGGTGTCTCACAACAACGTCTCGCCTCTCCTTCTGAGCTATGATTGTCCTGTGTTTCTACACAACTCACTTCCTCGACATCTTTCCCGTTTACTATCTTTGGAGAAATAAATGCTGAATGTGGGGCATTGGTATTCTGCAATGAATTACTCCTGCAATCAAAGGAATACTGTGTCATTTCTACAATCAAGATACGTAGCTGACATTTTTCTAAGACAGCTTGTTAAAATAGTGAGAACCTTCACTTGTTCAAGATCATGTCTATAACATACAGATCATGAGTTTCATGAAATATAAAATATTACCTCTAGAAATGCACATACATTCAAATGGTCATTTTTTGGTAAATGTGACATCTGAGTGTCTGAAATTATCTAAAATTATAGGTAGATAATAAATCAAAACAGCAATAAAGATAATCTTACCAACTGAAAGCATTTATTTCCTGTCTTCCTGGCTCCCATTCCATTAGTTTTACCAAAATACCTCTGAGAAATTGAGAAGGGAGCTGGCTTCGTGTTTGTAATAAAGCCACCACAGAGGTCATTTTGAATACAAGAGAGTGACCCTTTAGAGTACATGCAAAATGTATTTTAAAGATCAACTCTCAAAATGCAGAGGAAAGTTAAAATATCAACACCAACCTGTTCTGGCACAGTTTATTTTTCTTGGTGGCGGCAGGCTGAGGCCAGACCACATGGGCGATGCCCACGCTAATAGGCTGAGGAGCTGACAAAGTTATCTGGTTGGTGAGAAGAGGCTGTGGCATCACTGAGCTGTACGGATTGCTGTGTGAAATCATCTTCCTACAGAGAAAGTTTAGAAAAACTGAATCCCTTCTTTACCAAGGTCGATTTTGCAAACTATTCACCAAGAAGTACTTTTGTTTTTAACTCACCCCCAGTCTCCAAGCCTCTGTGAACCAGCCACCCCCTCTGACGTCAGTGTCGTAGCAGCAGGAGCCAGGGGTGCTACCTGCTGCCAGGCAGGGACCAGCATCTGCTGTGCTCTACCAGACCATGTCTGCTCAGCAGAAACAAACAAAACCAATTAGCTACAAGTAATTCATCATTACCACATTTTAAAATCACAAATATACTAAACTAACAATCATCTAATAATCACAAATGTTAAAGTCAACAACGTACAAAGGATTGAATTCCCACTCAGGTCATTTTCATTGTTTCCAACAGCACAGATGGATCCACGCCCCAACTTGAGTAAGGAACACAGTACCCATGCAAACACAATGCATTATTACTAACCTGAGAAAGAGCCCCTGCTCGGATCTGCAGTGGCTGCACAGCGGGGGCCTGAGTCACAAGTGGGACTGCATTGTCTACCCTTATTGAATAACTAGTGGGTTTACCATGCGTGGCAGGGATACCTGTGAAACAGAAAAGCACAGCTCTCAAATAAAGGAAAAACACTTTCTCCGAGTTAACTTATAAAACTCTTTTAAATTTAAAGAATTGCTAAAATTCTGATTAAGATTATAAAACCACCCCCTATGTAAAATGTTCACAACATTAACAAAGCAATCTATTAGAAAAAGGGAGGTACTTTCTATCTAGCTTCTGATACATCATTCTAAAAACTGTTCTAAAGCTATTCTTTCTACTGTTTCAAAATGCATACCACAAAGTTGAATCATTTATTTTTCTTGACAGTTCCCATTCCTTTTAAAAGTCTGCTATTGTAGCTTTATTTTCCTTTTCAAATAGTTATGCCACTATGATGGAGGACATGGAAAGGTGAGGCCGGCTCAACAGGCTGACACTCTAGCAAGTAAATGTCCATCTTTTCATACAAACTTTTAGCTATGCTTAGTATTCTCTTCTTTAAAAAACTGTAACTGGTTCTTACACTTTTGGCACCAAAGGGGGAATGTATCACAGTTTCACACTTCAGTGGCCAGGATGGTTTATGACTCAAGAAAATTCAGGATGGCATACTCATGTCAACCTCCAAAGGAAAACCAAAAATAATCCTTTCTGCCTAATATGATGATACAACTAATAAGCTTTGGCCAATGTGGCTTAATCTAGTAGTATTCCTAATAGACAGGCTGCAACTTCAGGACAAATACACTCCATTTTGTTCACCCACCAGAAAAATCAGAAAGCAGCATTACCAGCCACGTTAATCCTGTTAATGTTAGTATTTCTAAGTCATACATTAGAAAAGCACTCTGCAAATATTGTCTTATGATATTCAACTTTTAGACAGTAAAGTAGTATCACCCCAACTTGGAGGTTTGACTAGTAAGATTTTGGGGGCATACCCCAAGATCAGAAAGCTCAGTTACTGGAATAAATTCACTACATCATAACTCCAGTCTATTGTGGCAGTTACTTTCAATGGGGGCTGGCAGAGTATTCAAATATTCAGTTTTTCAATAAAAGTGATCTTAGGTGCTTCTGATCAGCCATAAGAGGAAAATACTACCGTTGTTTTCTTCTCCTATTGAAAAATAACCTTACAGTTTTTATTGCACTAATACATTTTAACTGTTAATCCTAAGGAGAATGTTATCTTTGCTGTATTTATCTTCCTCACAGAGGCTTTGATCCTACTGTCAGGGTGTTCTACCCTGTGGTCTTCACCTAAAGAGCAAGATACAAATTTAAGTTTAACAAAGATCTACAGGTTATTTTCTGAAAACTGATCTTATCCCTTCCAAAACGTATATCTTATTGGAAATTCTCCAAGAAACGGCATACAAGCACAGCCGGGCCGTGTAAGCATATTATAGCAATAGACAATCTCAACCGAGAAAAAAGCAGAATTCACTGTGACAAGGATGAAAGGACAGAGTGAATTCTCGAACCCCCAAAAAATCACGCTGCCCTTAAATTCTCCCCATAATCAATGCCTTAAGATGAGAAGAATTCTATTATCTTCTCTCCTCATGAGGTCTAATTTTTTAATCAAACTCAACAGTGGGTTAAGATCTCAATTTTCTATATAGTCATCAGGTCAGCTAAAACTTTATCTTTGTTTGATTAATTTGCTTCAATACCTGGAGAACAGGGCATAAAAAGCTTAAAGATCGTTCTAGTACAAAAGAGGAGGATTTTGCTGGAATGCATTTGATTCCAAAATAGCAGTTTTCATCGGGAGATGATAAATAACTAGCTTTTCAGATTGCCAAATAATGTTAAATGCTGGTTTAATATAGATTCAGATTCATTAAATAAAACTTGGCTAAGCTGTCTTTACTTTAACAAGGCACAATATAGTAACATGCATCTAGACCTAAGTATTCTGTCAATAATATATAAAGTATATGAAATGTATGACGAATCTAGACAGTTATAGCCCCAAAATAAAAACTGCAAAGGGAAAGGGAATAGACATAAAATTTATTTTAAAACACAAACTACAATGGCACCACATAAACTGCTGCCCAATACTCATTTAAAAATGTTCCTTCAAAGTGGATTGCCACATTACGAGATTGGGATTTTCTACAGAGGCGCTAAGATGGATTAGAGGGAAAGCTTTCATTTCACAGCAGCCGGTGCACTAAGACAAGAAACGACGAAACGACATATTTACAGAGCTGCCTTCCCTTCTGCTGAAACTGTGCCCGTTACACACGCTAAAAATGTCTCGTCTTGTCTCACTACTGACTCTGACTCGAAAGTATGTTCCCAACATATAATGGGTAACGAGCATGCAAGTGTCTCCTCCCCTGTTAGCCTTCTTGAGAGCCACTCACACAGTTAACACGTGTTCAGAAAGGTTACTAACCTCTTATTAATTATAAGTCACATAAAAAGATAAAAGATCAGTCTAACCTCATTGCAGGTTTTAGGAGTGGTACTCGATGGTGTTTGGAAATCTGTCTCATGAGCCTCAAGCTTTTTGCTACAAATAGAAGGCAGGCTCTGAAAAAAAACAGCTATTCCAAATCTTGACGAAATATATCACACACTGGAGGTGGGTGACCCTCAAACTGAGTTTGGTACATGGGAGAGATTATGAGACCCTAAAAATCTATTTGTTGAAACAGATTAAAAACTCATGTAAGTGAAAATGCATTTGTCAAGACAGCACTTACATGATAACTGATTGAAAAACAAAAAAGAATTTTTTTTAAAGATTTTGTTTTTCCTTCTTCTCCCCAAAGCCCCCCAGTACATGGCTGTATATTCTAGTTGTGCGTCCTTCTAGCTATGGCATGTGGGACACCACATCAGCGTGACCCGATGAGCAGTGCCAGGTCCACACCCAGCATCCAAACCAGCAAAACCCAGGGTCGCTGGAGCAGAGCATGCGAACCCAACAACTTGGCCACAGGGCCGGTCCAAAAGCATCAGTCTTGCATGCCCAAATATTTAGAAGTAAAATGCCTACCACTTACTATCAAATCGTGTATGTATGTCTAGACAGACAAAGAAAATGAGATGAAATGTCAACATTTGTTGAATCCAGGGTAGAAAGCAGCATAATATTCTCTGAACTTCTCTATTTGAAATTTTAAAATTTTTATAATAAACAGTCGAGGAGAAACAAAGAAAGAAACACAGCAGCATCTTTGAGTGTGCTGGCAATGCGTGATGCGGGTATTTTTACTATGGAGACCAGCCATGGTCACTGTCACAGATACTCAGAGCCACCCCTGGACCACAATTTCATCTTGAGAATCTACCAGCTAAGTTATCGTTTTTCCTATTTTTAGCGCTACAAACCTTATATGAAAACTCAATATGTAAAAAAGATGAAAGTAAAGCTATCTTGGTAGAACAAAAGTGGCTAAAGAGTTGACATGTTTTCACATCTCTAATTACCAGCCAATCAAGTTAACAAACATATTCATGGTGCTTTGTTAGGCACTGTGGGATACACTAAAATAAAATTTTTTAAAAGTTGCTTAAATCCTTAAATCAAATAAAATATTCAAATAACCTTCAGAATCCAGAAATACTAGATCTGGAAATGACCAAAATAGCCTCTATTCAGTATGTTTCTTCGAGCAAGGCTGAAGCCGGCTAACAGACCTGCCCAGGACGGCACAGCCAACAGCAGACACAGGACTGAGCCCAGTGCCCTGACTCGGCACCCGCTGTCAGCACCACGTTTCAGCCACCGCAGGCCCCATCTGTAACCAACTTCTTGCTTTACGATGTACTAGATGTTAAAGCCTAGTGAGGACAAAACGCTGGGAAAGGACTTAGGAAGTAGAGTGTATTCTGATTATTCCAGTTGCAGAGCTCGCTGCTACTGCCCTCTAAGAAGCACTAACAAATTCCCCAGTTTGAGAATTGTATTCTGCCACCCATCTCACTTGAGGATTTAATTTGCTATTTTTATCTAAATAAGGGACATAATTTAATTTAATCAAAATCAATCCTTTTTTTTTTTTTAAAGAAAAAAAGTTAGGCTATGGGTAAAGAGTAGGAGTATAAGATTTGGGGCCACAACTCTCCTGACCAAAATTTAAAGAAGTGAGCTCTCAGTCACTGTAACATCTAATACTGATACACAGGTAGCATCTACTTACCTGAACACCTGGAGCAGTGACACCACAACAGGACAACCCATAGCTTCCCAAGCTCATTAATTTCTACTAAAGGCATTTTATCAAGTTACACTCTACAGGAAATACAATTATCATATGACCCATTTTTGTTAATGAGGATTAGAATGGAGATCTAGTTAAGAAATGAGTGTCACTGGTCTAAAGGCTACTGATTAGCTTAAATTAAATTTAAATGAAGCATTAAATGTAGCAAAAGCTATATAGTATGTTTAATGACTAGATGCTGAAATTTGATTAAAAATAATGCATGCCTAAATTCAAAGTGTAATTTAAATGAAAGAATACCTTGAATAGCGGGAGGACAGATAATCAGTGTCTGATGAAAAGCATCACCACAACCAAAATGAGCAGTTCCAGCCTGCAGAGGAATTCCATGGTGCACAACCGAATGAGCAGATGTGGTTAAGGCCTGAAAAGGGCAACGTCCATGGCATTATACAGAGCAGTGTTCTAACTGCTACCTACATGCTTCACAAACAGAATTCACAAGCATTTCATAAAATCATAATTCCACGATAAAAATGGACCCAGAAACTGATTTCACTGAACTCTACTTTTTGGAGAGTTGTGGCATTGAAGACAGGTGGAGAATATTGAGAGAATGAAAGACGAAAGGAAAAAAGTGAATTTGAGGAGCTATGTTCCAACTGTCACCCTGAAATGTTAGAGCTGTACCAGACCGGCCCCAGTAGGACCTCACCAGCACTTACCTCCTAACTGCTGACACGACATTTCCATATAAGTCAAAAGCAAAATGAGCAATCATAAAGAAAAAAAAAACCAAAAAACAAAGAGTAGAAATTATTAAATACTGTAAATTCTTACCTGATTTCTTAATGTGCCAATTTTAGTAAAATTTGCTGTCAGATTAGCAGTACTGCTTGAAGCAACTGGTCTTAAAAGTGAAGCTTTATTGTGATTATTTGTGTCACATAAATTTGGGTGGGACTTACAAATATCCATAATATGAAAACAGGACTTTACACTGCAAAAAAAGGAAAAGGCAACTGTAATATGATTTTAAACATTTTGAGTAGTTTAAAATTAACGTACATTAATAAAATTTAAAAATTATTTCCAAAAGAAAACATTCTATGACTTACACCTAATCTGCTTATTTCCAATACTATTTCTACTAGGAAATCCTAAAAAAGATCGAATTTTAAAGCAAGTAAAAGTATATCTTATACTGCAATATTTTTTAAGACATCAAAACCAATAGTAAGCAATTTTTGGTCAGCTCACCATAATTTTATGACCCATACCCTTTTTCCTGAATTTCTGTATCTCCATATCCCTAAATTAATGTTACCAAGTATGTGGTTATCATGTTATTTTCAAAGTGCTTATATATGGGAACCATGAGATATTTTTAAGGGTGGGGGGAGGAACAGGGATAGTAGCTGGGTTTTACAGAAACACCAATTTTGCCGGTGACCCACAACAATGCTTATGGGTTTGTCCTCAGACCTTCTTCATTCGGTCTTTTTAAAAAATATTTAAAGAAGCTGTTTTCAGTCAATTACTTTACTCCTTTCAGCCTATAAAAAAGAGGTCTGGGGTTCAAAGAATTCAAAAGATTTGCCCACGGTAACTCTGATAAGGCCTTCTCAATTTGAGCATATATTCTTCTCTACTAAACTGTAAAAAAAAACCTATTTCCTTTCCTTCCACAATGCAGAGAAGAAAGAATAGGGAACAGGAAAGCAAAATGGTGCAAAGGGAAACTGAAAACAAAGTTTGCAGGACTCAAAAGGAGGGAGGCCGGCCCGGTGGCGCAGTGGTTACGCTTCGGTGGCCTGGGGTTTGCCAGTTCAGATCCCGGGTGTGGACCCATGCACCGTTTGTCAAGCCACATATAAAGGCGTCCCACATATAAAGAAGAGGAAGATGGGCACGGATGTCAGCTCAGGGCCAGTCTTCCTCAGGAAAAAAAAAAAAAGAGGAGGATCGGTGGCAGATTTTAGCTCAGGGATAATCTTCCCCCAAAAAAAGAAAAAAAAGAGGGAGGAAGAGTGCTGCCATTTCCTTTTACTATATATATATGCCTGGTAATTAAGGTAAGAATGTCGTATAAAAACAAAATCACCCAGTCATTCTCAATATGGTATTTTGGGAAGAGAATAATGGAATGCAATTCAGATGCATTCTAGCTCTATGTCTAGTTACCAGCGAACTTGGCCAAATTAGCTTAACCTCTTTTGACTCAGTTTACTTATATTTAATGAAGAAATCAAATCATTTTTCTAACACACTGATTTTCTATAAGTCATATTATTATTTCTCCAGAATCATTTTTAAAGATTTTGAAATAACATACTGGTTGCTATGAGGGAAATCTAGAAGATGTTTCATATTAACAAAAGGATGGTTCAAAGTCTCAGCTGGAGTAATTCTGAAATCTGCATCAATTAACAACATTTTCTTCAACAGACCAACAAATTCTCTTCTATCAGCTTTCTCAGCCAAAAGATCACTTCCTTCTAAATCCATCACTGTGTTCACCTGTGAAATCAAAATTTTAAGTCATCAAACAAAAATAAGCCATGGACGGTAGTATATGTTAAAGCTTCACAGTTAACACAAAATACCACAACAGACAAAAGAACAAAGAACTACAATTATTTTGAAATAAAAAAGAACAACTGAACTTAAAAAATCTTCAAAATGATGAGACACCACATAGCATTCAAAGCTGGAAAAGAATTTTTTTTTTCTCCTTTTACTTGAGGAAGATTGTCCCTGAGCTAACATCTGTGCCCATCTTTCTCTATTTTGCATGTGGGTCGCTGCCGCAGCATGGTTTGATGAGCAGCGTGCAGGTCCGCACCTAGGATCTGAACTCATGAACCCTGGGCCTCCAAAGAGGGGCATGTGAACTTAAGGCCACTGGGCCAGCCCCAAAAAGAATTTTTTTAATTAAACAAAAATACATTTCCAACAAGATATAAGGAAAAGAAATTTGTTTGCTAGGATTTTTTGCTTTTAAAGAAAATACTTTTTGCTCAAGAGCAGTATAGTGTAAATTAAATATTTGATAAAGACATGTAATTTAGTTCCTGAAAGGTTGAAACCTTAGAATGAATTTCCTTTGAAAAGATTAAAGACAGCAAGCACTCTATAGTCATTTAGAAAACGATTAGCACGTTTTGGCATCCTTGGCATGCAAGTCTGCCATCTTCAGCATGCAGGCCTGACGAACGCGGCTGCAGTACTCACATGCACTATGTCGTCCAGACTGCTGAATATGTACTTTCTGGCTTCTTTAGACTTCATTCCTGTCTCTGCCTCGTGCTCTTCCAGTGTCTTATTGAATATATCAAAGCAGGAAAATAATATATTATTATTCATCATTTCTGAATTCTTTATTTCTTGAATTCTGGCACATCAGTCTAATATATTAAATATTCGAAGACAAGCAGTAGTTTCAAAAGAATAACTATCAAAAATGTATTTTTTAGAAGCACAAAAAAATGAGAAGATCTTGGTTCAGGTCAAAAATAGTACATATAACAAACTCCTTAAACAAAATAACTAATTATAAAGTTACTCACTAAGGTTTACCAACACCCCCCCCAAAGATCCTAGGAATAAGTCAGGTACTCGGGTGACAGTCAGCAGTTAGACTTAGCCCCTGCCCTGTAGAGCTAAGAATGTAGATGCGGGTAGAGAAGATGAAACACGCAACATAAAAGTGAGAATATACACACAAAACTTTAAAAACCATTTGATGAGTTAATAATTATGTTGCCAGGTTAGGGAATGAGCTAAGTAACTCAGACAGGGCTTTCCCTGTTAAATAAAAAAAAGAGGGAGGGTAAAAAATGAAAATTCTTTTGAATTTTTTTGAATTTTGAAGGAAGAAATGCAATAAAATTAAAATAGGCATAGAGGGTATCATCCACACTCATGAGGCATCTTAGAAAACTGTTTTTCTAAATACTTCGTAATTACCTTTAATCTCCAACCAGAATGAGAAATATCTGTTTCTCTGCAAAAAAATCTTGTGGATTTCGTACCCACATTTAACAACTGTTCTCCTGGTAAACCTTGAGTCTGAGAAATGTAACGAATCTGAAAAATAATTTACAGAACAAAAACATTTATTCTTTCATGCAACAGATATTAATTGAACACCTACTATATATCAGACACTAAGACAGATGTTAGGTCAAGAATTCACTGATGCAGTCTGTGCCCTCAAGAAATTCACAGTCTAGTGGGGGAACACACAAGTAAACTATTATAATACAGTGTTAAAAGCACCATAACAGGGGCCAGCCCGGTGGCGCAGTGGTTAAGTTTGCACGTTTCACTTCGGCAGCCGGGGGTTCACCGGTTCGTATCCCAGGTGCAGACATGCCACCACTTGTCGAGCCATACTGTGGCAGGCGTCCCACATATAAAGTAGAGGAAGATGGGCACAGATGTTAGCTCAGGGCCAGTCTTCCTCAGCAAGGAGAGGAGGATTGGCAGTAGATGTTAGCTCAGGACTAACGTTCCTCAAAAAAAATAAACTAAGAAAATAAAAAATAAAAGCACCATAATAAATGCATACTTTGTGGAAAGACAGAGAAGGAACACCTAAAATAATTGTAGTCACATAAAGTTCCAGAAGAGGCTATGTTCAAGTTGGGTCTTAAAGGATAAACAAGAGTTCCTCAGCCCTAGAGGAGTGGGGAAAACCTGATCTATTATGATTTATGTTAAGGCTGTAATACATGAATAAATATGGAAAACCAAGAGAAAATCCCTAGACATTCACAGAGACGGGAAGCACAGAGGTTGGCTAAGGGAAAAACGGCAAGAGATGAAACCGAACTAGCAGGCAGAGGACTTTATCAATAGGTTAGGAAGTTTGGATTTTACTCTAGGAGGGAATAATGGGAAACCAGTGGAGAAATCCAGACAGAAAACTGACAAGTTACACTTCTAAAGCGATGTCTAAGAACGTTGAGAGGAAAAGGCCAGGGGAGAGCTGAGCGGGCCTGAACGGAGAGACTGAGTAGGGACAGAGAGAAAGCAGTGGATTCAAGAGAGACAGCCTGATGGAGACTTGGTGATTCTGACTGCGGGAGCAGTGGAGGGCCGTCTGTGTCATGGCAGAGGCATGGCTGAGTCAGTGGAGGAGGAGCTCTCGGGAGTATACAGAACCGCTCCATCCTCAGGGCCTGAGCTTGGTGTCCTTCTGTTTGAACGCTCCTCCCCATGCATCTGAACGCTCATCTTCCACTTTTTCAACTCTCAGCTCCAACGTCACCTTGCTCTGGGGGCCTTCCATGACCCACCAATAAATAACAACAGCTCTCTCCTCATCAGCTACCCCATCTGCCTTACTCTCACGTTTTTCTCCAACATGCTTTTACCATCTGATACTCTGTACATTTGCTTTCTATTTTCTTACCCTGCTCCCCCTTTGAATGTAAGTTTCATGGAGGGAAGGACTTTATTTTGTTGACTTAGATACGCACCCAGGACAATGGCTGGTACCCAGCAGGCCCTCAAACTTCTGTTCCCCAACTTAATAACCGGGCAGCACAGGGAGTAAACAGAGACTAACCTCCTCCAGACTGGGTTTGAGAACACAGGGCTCCTTTTGTTTCAAACCTCACAGACTCTGCTGTAGCAGTCAGCCCATCCTCTCTTGTGTCTTCTATTTCCTCCTCTATAAGATCCTTCCCCTCAATCCACAAAAACGCTTAATATCTTCTATCCTCAAAAAAAATCTTCTTTAACTATTTAAAACTCTTTCTTTTCTCACTCAGTTAAGAGTCTTAAAATAGCAGCCTATATTTTGCTTCCCATTCTCACTTCAACACACTACAATCTGAATTTTCCTATCACTCCCACGATATGGTACTAAGCTAAGGAATGGCCTTTAATGACTGACACATTCGATAACACATATTAACCCTTATCTTCCTCTGACACTATTGGCTATTACCTCTCTACTAGAAACTCTGTTCCTTGCATTTCCACAGCATCACTCTTTTCTAGTTCTCCTCCTGCTCTTGACACTCTTTCCCTTCCCCTCTCCACCTGTTCTATGACGTGTTCCAGAGCTTTCCCTGTCCTTTCCCTCTATAAGCCCCACACACCCACAGTTTCATCTCTAAATCTGTATCCAACTATTTATCTCCACTCTGGTTATAGATCCAACTTACTGAAACTCTCCACTTGGCTACACTTTAGGTACCTGCCTCAGGGTGAACATATCCTAACCTCATTTTCCCTCCTATCTGTTAATCCTCAGGTGTTTCTCCCTTTGATGAACAGCAACACCAACCACCCAAATCAGAAACCTGACATTTATGCCAGACAAGCACCTCTCCCTCATCCCCTTTCCCCCAACACCCAAAACCCTCACAATTTTACTCATTAGTATCCTTCCTAACTGCCCCTCCTCTCCATCCCTACGTCAGGTCTTCTTCAATTCTGTTATATAATTTCAAAACCCCCAAGCTACTGCCTGCCTCCCTAATGACCCCATCCTCTCACACCCAATTCATTTTTCACACAGCTAACAGCCATTTTGGTAAAATGTAAATCTGATCGTTACTCCTTGCATAAAATTACTTTATTGCCTATGAGATCAATTCCAAATCTCTAATCCTGGCGTACAGGCCCTCCAGCTTCATCTCTGCCCTGTTCTTCACGTGCTCCTCTGCTCCAGGCCCACCTAGCACCGTGCTCAACTTCACATGGGCTCGTTCCTCTTTCCCAGATTGCTAACTCCTGTTCACCAAGGTCCCTGTGCCCCGCCTCACTTCACCAAATCCCCGTGACAAACTTTTACTATTCCTCCTTCAAGACTCAATTCAAGAACTTCTCCTGGGGCTGGACTGGTTGCGTAGTGGCTAAGTTCGCAGGCGCTGCTTCAGCAGCCGGGGGTTTGCGGGTTCAGGTGCAGACCTAGCACCTCTCGTCAAGCCATGCTGTGGCTGCAACCCACACAAAATAGAGAAAGACTGCCACAGATGTTAGCTCAGCGACAATCTTCCTCACAAAACAAAACAAAACTTCTCGTCAGTCAAGCTGTGCCTAACGATCCCAAACAAGGGTGATCACTTCTCTGTGCCACCATCACACCTAGAACATAATAATTTCGGTGCCTTTATAACACTATGTAACAATTATTTTTTTACATATTTGCTTTCCCCACTAGACTATGAGCCTCCTGACAACAGTCTATGTTTATTTTACAAGGAATGATCACTAAAATCTCCACCTTACTAATTAGTTTCATTTCATTAAAGTGCAGTGCCTTCCCCTCATCCACATCCCCGAGGTGGCTGAGTTCCTTGTTCTATGGAAACAGAAAATGAAGAGAAAAGTACTAAGAGCTCAGGACCTAGATGTTACATCAGTCTCTTGAGTGGCAGGAAAGGCATTCGACAATTCAATTTCAACAAATACACAAAGAGCATTTATCATGCGTCAGATGCTAAGGATATGCAGATAAATAAAATATGGTGCCAATCTTCAAAAGCATATAAAAGCAGAACAGATAAATATTTAAGCACATAATCTGCAATTAAGCCCAGAAGTGCCACTGAGAAGAAGAAAACAAGGTGCCAGAAGAGTAGAGGACAGAGCAATTAGCGTCTCAAGAAACTGGGACGGCACTGAAAGCAGCAAAGCAAGCGGCAGGTGAATCTGTCAGTGCATTTGGTCACAACGCCCACCCGGTCTTTCCAAGAGGAACTGTCCCATCTGTAAGCCCTGATACATGAAGGGACCCACCCTTGGCCCCCCGTCCCCAGTGGATGAAGGGTGGGGATCAGACTCAGAAGCATTACTGCATAAATTCACTTTGTGAACTCAAGTAGAAATAAGCCAAGCAAATCAGATTTACAATGTCAGGAATGGAGACTAAGAAATGCCAACTACTGTGGGGGGAGGAGCGGAAGGATTATGATGTGGAGCCGGAGTCCAATGGCCATGTTAACCTAACCACAGCTGAGGGTGAGCAGATCCTGAGTAGCAAGTTGGGTCAGAACACACGAAAGCACCTGAAGAGCAGCTGAGGCACACGGAAGACCCGGCATCGGATGAGGGTCTATGGCGCCTGCCAGTTCCGCTAAGTCTGCCCTCAGAAGCCAAAGCACCTCCGATTCCAGGCTGCACCCGATCCAGCCGTACCACAGCTCCATTCGTGGATTTTTGTGCAAGTCCACAGATAAAAAAGTGAACTTTTACTTAAGGCAGCTTCAGAAGGCCTCTCTGCACGTGAACAGCCTGACAAAACAGTGTCCTTTAAAGACTCCCACCCGCTGCCCCGGAGTGGAAACAGTAGACTTCATTGCTCCTGCATAAGACGTGATTTGAAATTATGAAGGATAATAACTTGAATATAAACTCAGACTTTTCGCTGTTCTGGATAAGATTCTATCTAAACTCCAACAAACATTTTGCAAGAACAATCAACATTTACTAAATAAATTATTCTCCCTCCCTCCACAAAAATATTACAATTCCCTATAATGTTTTTATATTTCCCTGGTAAACCTAGTTAAATCCTGCACATGGAACACTAAGAAGACAGTAGACCTGCCCTTAAGACAGGAAGGGGTCCCGCACACCACCACTTCACAGGGGCCTCCTTTAACACACACTAAACACACTTGTGGACAAAGGGAAATGAAATGCATGGACGAGAAACGTGGCCTGTGAGAAATTCTCAACATGGTCAGTCCCTCGTTATGGAATCCAAAATTCAAAAAGGAAATTGCCTTGGAACAGCTTTAAGAGATGATAAAGATGATTAAAGGGCTGGAATACTACCCCCATAATGAAGAATTAAAATAATCTGAATATTTTCTCCTGGCCTTTAAGTATATAACAATTATAGGTCTACTATTAGAAGGTTAAATAAAGGTTGAACATAAGACATACCAACAACAGTTAAGAAAGAGATGTTACAATATATTTCATAGGAAGTCTTTACTGTTATAAATGTCCCATGTGCACTTGAGAAGTGGGTATCCTGCAGTTCTGTGTGTAGTACTGGGTGCAGCGTGCTACACCTGTGTCATTGGGTCAACTTGGTTAATCGTGTTCAAACTATATTCTCACTGATTCTTTTCTATCTACTTGCTTTATCAATTACTCAAAGAAAGGTGTGAAAATCACCTATTATGATTGTGGGTTTATCTATTTCTATTTTTGCTTCTGTCAATTTTAGATTTATATTATTCTGAAGCTACTACTAGAGGTATAAAATACAGAATTGTGATGTGTTCATACTGAACTGAATTTTCCAAATTGGTTGAGCTTCCCCTCTTTACAAATATTACTGATTTATTTATAATAAAGAACACTCCTGTTGTTAAAAGGAATGTTATAAACAAAAGCAAAACAGAAAGAAAAGAAAATCTTGTACAACATACTTTCTGAGAAATAAATATTTGTACAAAATGTCATCACAGGACAAAATGATAAACTAGCATAGGCGGCTGGCTCCCTCCCTACAAGTCACATCTGGAGACAGAATACTAACGAAGCTGAGGGATCTGAGAAGCGAATTACGAATAACGAGACTGTGAAAACCCTCTTGGAGTGCCAGCAGACTGACAGTGGGGGGTGGGAGTGGCGTCTGGGAGAGGACCGGAGACTGAGGACAGACAAGAGCAGGGCTGGGTCGGGCCCTCTCAGCTGGGCCGCTCTCCTCACACCGGCTGGAGAGTCTTATCCTGAGGTAGAGCAGAGGCATCCACTGCTAACAGCATGGCTCCTGGGTTCATGCTACCTGTGCTGGGGTTTTGGGCAAGTTATTTAACTTCCCCGCAACTTCCTCATCTGTAAAACAGAGGCACTAGCAGCATGTACCTCATACGGATGTTGTGAGCATTAAATAAGTTAACGTCCAGTGTTAATCAAAACAGTTCCTGGCACATAGAAGAACTCAGTATTAATTCGTAACATTACCACGGCCCACTGTAATGCAAAAAATAAGTTAAAATATAAAACAGCAACAACATCCCAATTGGGTGCCCAAGTGATTAGGGCAGCTGAAGTCTGGAAGAGGAACAGATGACAGAAAGGTCTACTCTGCTGGTGCCCCTTTCTCATCCTAATCAGATGATCATAGTCCAGGGAGCTGGGGAAATCTATGAAACTCAACCACATTAATAAATAGACTAAAGCAAAAAAACAAAAAAGAATACTTATGTGAATACTTTAATAGATGCAGAAAAGCATTTGAGAGTCCAAAATTAATTTAGGGTTTAAAAAAATGCTCAGAAAATTAGGTATAGAAGGGAGCTCCTTTATCTTGAAAACAGACATAAGTCAAAACCTATATAGCAAATATCATATTTGAAAATGAATATAAAGTCTAAGATTGGAAGCAAAACAATGATATGCTCACACCATCACTCCTATTTATTTGCATTCATGCATTTTGGAAAATAACTTTTACAACACTGAACTGATAACTGTGCAACTCCTGATGCTCTGTGTAATAGCTTTTTTCAATTACTATACCCCTTTGGAATTAAAGTAATATACATTCTGAAAACACTGCTAATCTGGATCGGATAACACCTGTTTCCAGTTTTTTTTAAAAAGCATCTATTAATGACTTTAGAAAAACAGTTTTGGTCAGGGCTTTGTCTTAAATTATCATTGTGACATTTGACATGTCATTTCATTTTCCTGGGCCTTGGTTTCCTCCTTTATAAAATAGGCAGGGGCACTAACTAGATAACTTATAAGGTCCTCTTCAGTACTAACATCAGTTGTCCAAGAATAGAAGTGTAAAGTCCAAATCCGCAGTACGACAGCAAATGGACGTGAAGTTGCCACTAGATGGTGTCCTGCTCCAGGGTGTCACACAGGTCACAAACCGCAGTCTACAGAGCCAAAGGTGTTCTTCTCGCATTCGACGGCAACCTCAGTACTTCAGCAGCTAAGAGGTTATGGGTTCTCCAAGGAGATCACTAACTCTTTCAAAACTAGCAATAGTCTAGCATCTGCATCAAGGTTAGTGGTTGGGGAAAAGCTGAAGGAATCCAGGATATACGGAAAATTCTACAGAAACTATCTTTTAAGCAGTACACTGAACAATGCAAATCAAAAGTACACTAAGGCATCACCTTAAATCCATTAAAATGGCTATAATCACCAAGACAAAAAATAACAAATGTTGGAGAGGATGTGGCGAAGAGGGAACCCTCATTCACTGCTGGTAGAATGCAAACTGGTGCAGCCACTGTGGTAAACAGTATGGAGATTCCTCAAAAAATTAAAAATAGAAATACCATACAACCCAGCTATCCCACTACTGGTATCTATCCAAAGAACTTGAAATCAACAATTCAAAGAGACTAATGCACCCCTATGTTCATTGCAGCATTATTCACAACAGCCAAGATGTGGAAGCAACCTAAGTGCCCATCCACTGATGACTGGACAAAGAAGATGTGGTATATATATACAATGGAGTACTACTCAGCCAGAAAAAAGACAAAATCGTCCCATTCACAACATGGATGGATGTTTAGCGAAATAAGCCAGACAGAGAAAGACAAATATCATATGATTTCACTCATATGTAGAAGATAAACACATGGAAAAAGAGAAAAGTTCAGTGGTTACCAGGGGGAAGGAGGTTGGGAGGTGGAAAAGGGGGTGAATGGGAGCACTTATATGGTAACAGACAGACAATAACGTGCAAGTGAATTTTCACAATGTTGTAAACTATTATGACCTCAATTAAAAAAAAAAAAAGAGGTATGCTGAACATGGAGGGGAAGGTAGAGGACACAGGACTAGTCTGAGAGAGAAGCCTTATGGTAGAAAGTCAATGGAAGAAGATAAGAGATTAAAGTTAATGATGACATCTAATGTTACCTAAATGTTCTATTTTTTCATGCTTAAAAGCTAAATGTCATTTAAATGAATATTATATTTATCCACTATAAGCCAATTATAGAAAGACAAAATGAAGGTAACCATTTTGTTAATTTTGACTAACATTTTCCACTAAAATAGCTGAATATGTATGTATCTCTCTAATAAAGGAGATGCTATGAAACTCTTCCAAATAATAGTAAATAAGATAACAATTACTCCAAAAAAGAATCTTGGTATTAAAAACCAAGAAAATAGCAAACCACATTGTCTAATATCTTAGAGAGGTTAATAAACGTACCTGAAAACTATCATGAAAAGTGTTTAATGAAGTGATTTGCTAGATTCTACTGCGAATCATCTAGATAATGTTAAACTAGACTTTAGCACCATTCAAAAACAGCTAAAAATACTAAAGAGGGTTCAGGTGGCTGAGGTACTTAAGACCAACAATGGTTGCTGGTCTAAGACCAGGAGTTACGATGCCTTTAGCCCTTGGAGAGGCTGACATTTCACCCATCGTCACAATCTGCCACCTGAGTGGAGCGCTATTATTCAAATGACACAGTCCAGCCCTTTATATGGCTATACTATAAAAATGATAAAAGAAATTCTCTTAGGAGTTTCACAAAACTGGTTTTGGGGCCTGTGGATTGTAATTTTGTTTATGAAACTTACCTCAGTTGTTATAAAAGTTTTTAAAAACCAAATACAGTTCTGAGATCTTGAATTTAAATTCCCTAAGATCCCAGGTTTTGCCATTTTATTTTTAAAAGATTTTCACATGCATTTGTATACCTGGGGGAATGCATTCCTACAAATCCACTATTTTTCTTTACATTCAACTGGTTCTACTAGATTATCGCAAAGTTCTGTTACCTGGTCATACTCCAGGGCTCCTGGGTAGAGCGGCCATCCCAGGAATAATTCTGCAATCACGCATCCCAGTGACCACATGTCTATGGCTTCACAAAATGGCAATCCCAATATGATCTCTGGCGCTCTGAAATGTAACAACAAAAAAAAACAAAACAGAGTGGTTTTCATCTGACATTCTGAGAAAAGTTAGTAAAATGACAAAGAAATCACCTTCTATTTATAGTAACTCTTCACTGTCAGAGCTCTTTTAAACCAAGCCATACCCTGAATTAATCTTTAAAAAGTGCTATGAGTACAACATCGCTATGATAAAATCTCTATACTTAATCCTTATGGAGTCTTATTAACATACATTAAAAAAAGGAGAAACTGTAGATCTTGTTTTTGGGACTATAGATTAGAAATAGCACACTAAAAAGAGAACTGGCAAACTGCTGAATACATGCACCATGACATCAAGAGACCGAAAGCAGACACCGAGAGAGAGGCCAAGACAAAACCAAACCCCCGAAGGCTAAAGCAGATCCAGACCCAGATATTCCTCCAGAACACAATAAATATTCACATAATTAGACCCAGCTCAGTGTACTCTGCTTGAAAACACAGAAAAGTAGGGGATACATCAAAATAATTAAAAAGCATTTTAGCACTTCAAGAGCTTTGATAATTTGGAAAATGTATTCCATGAAAGATGACATTCCCAGATAAATTATGTTGCTGCTTAACATGACTTTTTCCTGAGAAGATTAACCTTCTCAGAGATAGTTCACATATGGCTATGTAATTCCAAAGTAAGTCACACACAGTGATCCTAAACAGTCCCAAATTTACAGAGAAGTTGTAAGAACAGTAGAATGAATTTTTTTTTCCTGAACCATTTGAGAGTAATTTGCCAATTAACCGCGTACTTTGTATTTCCTACAAACAAGAATATTCTCCTACATAACACAATACAATCATCAAAATCAGGAAATGAACACTAATACACCTCCACCCTCGAAGCCTTAGGCTCCAAGTCAGGACAATTATACCAGAAACGTCCTTTCCAGCAAAAGGATCCAGTTTAGAATCGCGCACTGCATTTAGTTGTCATATCCCTTTCAGTCTTTTTCAAAAGGGAATAGTTGCTCGAGTCTTTCTTGATTTCCATGACCTTGGCATAAGATACTCCAGGCCCGTTACTTGTAGAATGGCCCCCACTGTGGGTTTGTCTGATGTTTCCTCATTAGATCTGGGTTATAAACCTTTGGGAGGAATACTACAGGGATGTTTTTCTCATTGTGTGCTACCAGGTGGCATACAATTCCGATTTGTCCCAGTGCTGGTCGTGTTCACTGTGGTTACTTGATTAGCATGGTGTCTGCTAGATATCGTCAGTAGCAGCTCCTCCCTTCTCTGTGTGGTTTCAATTTGAGACTATATCCTCATCAAACTTTCAATTTATTCATTTATTTACCTATGTGAGTACAGATTAATGGATTCTTATTTTTTTGTTGTTTTTAAAGATTTTATTTTTTCCCTTTTTCTCCCCAAAGCCCCCCGGTACATAGTTGTATATTCTTCATTGCGGGTCCTTCTAGTTGTGGCATGTGGGACGCTGCCTCAGCGTGGTCTGACGAGCAGTGCCATGTCCGTGCCCAGGATTCGAACCAACGAAACACTGGGCCGCCTGCAGCAGAGCGCGTGAACTTAACCACTCGGCCACGGGGCCAGCCCCAATGGATTCTTATTTTTATTCAATGGTTTATAACCCATTATTATTGTTATATATTTTGATACTCTAATCTTCCCAGACTTGACCAGCTGAACCCCCTCAATGAGCTATGGGTCCTAATTACTATTGGGATGGCACTGTTGCCAGGCTCTCTCAACATACATTTCATAAACAGTTACACAATACAAGCTTTCTGCTAGTTTCTTCAACTGAGACTGCTGACTGTCATTATCTCCTAAGGCAGTGGTTCTCAATCTTGGTTGCACATTACAATCACTTGGTCCTGGCCACACCTTATACCTGTCAACGAAAATAATCCATAACCAATCTATAAATGAAAATTTGGGTGAGTTTATTCTGAGCCAAAATGTGAGGACCATGGCCCGGGGCCTTCCTTCCTCAAGGAAGGAAGGGCACCAAAGAAGTGGGTGTACAGAGTGGTTATATACCCTCAAAGAGGATGTTTCACATGTGATTGAAACGTCCCTTTTACAATAGTCACAAGACAGCGACTGATGGACACAGCAGGTAGTAGGTCTGCTGTCTCAGTGGACACAGCACAGCAGGGTGGCAGGTCTGTTGTCTCAAGCTGGGTGGTCACAGGTGAGCACAACAATCAGTTGCTAACCTGGGGAAAGATGCTTATCCTTAAAGAAATGCCAATGGCGGGGTAAGCTGCACCTTTATCTTATGGGCATTTGTTCTTGTCTTTGGGACATAGCAAATGCTTAAGCAGATATACAATGCATGTTTGATGGCCATGTCAGGCCCTTTTGGAAAAAACAAAGTCAGGCCGAATTAGATTTACATCAAATGGCTTCCCATATACTCCAATATATCCTATTGCTTGCCATTTCTACTTGTCATACCAATTAAATCAGAAACTCTGGGGATGAAACTTAGGCATCAGTACGTTTTAAAGCTCCCAGGATGATTCCAATACATGGCCAAAGCTGAGAACCAAAGCCCCAGCCTCGAGTAGTGGGACCAAGCGGCAGACTAGCCATCTCCTCCCTACAGATCTTCTCATCAGATTAGCTCAAGGGGGAAGAAACAAGCTGTCTTCTACCATAGATCTGGGATCTGTCCAGTGACTCTTCTCCTCCTGGACATGTCTGCTATAATTAATACATGAGATTCAACAGGACTCAATCAACACACAAGCATTTGTTAAAAACAAGTAAGAGCCATGGGGAAATGCTATGTGACATAAAAGATTTTCAAAACATAGTAATAAAAGACTTTCATTCTTTTGAAAAAATACTTAATAAGCGTTTGTATAGAAGTATACACATGAATTATATTCAGATATAATCAAACACTGAATTGTGTTGTAGAAAAAGGAAAAAGTTACACTAACTTATTGTGGGGGCTTGGAATTGGCCACCCCAAGATATGTCTCTTTGGCATGAAGATTATTTGGGGCTGGTTACTTTTAATAAACTGCCGACAGGAAAGCAACTCTGAAAAGTAGAGTTTACTTACCCTTTGTTAAGAAACATTTACATTGTAAGGAAATCACCATCTGTAAAGGTGTCTCCCTCTCTGTATCAGGAAGAAGGGGGGATGACCTTATCTCTAGAAACTCTTAATCAATGCCAAAGGCAAGGACTTAAATCTGCATATTGTTTACTGTACTTGTGTGGTAATCTCCCATGATCTCTCCCCCTCCACCCCCAACATCTTCCTTTGTCTTTAGCTGAAGATGATATTTAAGGGGGGGGCTTCAGCCATTTTGGCGAGTTGCTCAGCTTGCCTGGGCCTCTCCCATGTATACGTGCTATAAAGCTTTGTTTAATTTTCCCCTGTTATTCTGTCTCATGTGAATTTAATTCGTTCTCCGGCCAGAAGAACCCACAGTGGGTAGAGGAAATGTCTTCATCCCCTACATTATCAAGCTTATGTACTCACAATATCATACAAAAGACAGAGGCAGATCTTAGCGTTTTTTTCCTCACTATTGTAAATGCAGAACCTAGCAGAGAACATGCACTCAGTAAACATCTCTCAGATAACTCATTCCAACACAGGTTGGTTGGGTCACACAAAGGAGAATATCAGAGTGAAAGGTGGGTTTGACCTAGGCCTTGAAGACCAGAAGTCTAGGCAGAAAGAAAGAGAAATGGGCACAAGAGTTGTAAAGGTATTTATTAACCTTTACTAAAAAGATACAAAGCAAAGGGGCAGTCACAGTTTCAACAGTGTGGTGTACGCAGGGACTCACCTGGGCACCTGATGGTGCACTGACACGAACCTACAGAATCATTAACACAGAGCTGCAGCTGTGTAAGAGCTTTAAGGTTATTTTGAAACATTTAATATAAAAAATTCATGGGATTTGAAATTGGCTGCTGTAGAAAACTTCAACATCAATCTGGCAATGAAAGAAAAGTAACAGAATGATAGTGCCTAGGATACACAATTTAAAGAGACTGATATTACTTGAAATCTGGTTAACAATAAGAAAAGAGTTTCTGTCAATTGGACAAAGAGCGATGAATTCTTTCTGTCATTTGCTACTATTTAATGAATGAGCCAAACATAAAATCTAAGAAACAAAAGTTATATTCATGCAAGCAAACTAAAATTTCTCATTTTAAAATATGAAAAGATTTTAACTGCAAGTTTTATACAAATTCATTATGTATTATTGCATCAGTTCAGATCCTCTACGAAGCAGATTAGATGTGCAAGGAATTTCTTGGGGGGAAACACCTGTGACGGGTACAGGGCGAGGAAGCAGGACTAAGTGAAGAGAGCCCTCAGACCGTGAGCGGTTCTGGCATCAGTGAAAGAAGAGGCAAAGGAACAAGCAAGCAGAAAGAACCTCTGACTGCAGTGCTGTTTTGAGAAAGTCCTGCCTGGGCCACATGACCTGCCAGACGAGTTTCCCACCAGGCAAGAACAGCCCAGCAGACGCGTGGCCTCTGCCTGAGCACTGACACACACCTGAAGGTGCAACAGCTGAACGCGCTCAGTCAACCACGCTCCCTGCAGGAGGTGCTCCTGAAGGGGAATCAGAGCCCACAATTCCTTGGCTGCCACAACTATCTTTCCAAAAGCTTCTGTACTTTATCTTATTTTATAATACACATATATGATAAAGGAAATGCAATAAATGTCTTTACCAAGTCCCATTCAAACGTGCCCAAATTCTCTCCAGTTTAACCTAGTACGCCATAAAATATTTTCATTTCCTATGTGTCTCATCACTTTGAAAGCTTGGGAAGAAATACCTTAAGGCCTTTACAATCTAGATGAAACTGTCAGAGGAGGCAGAGTTCTACCAGCCAGTCTTACGATACAATAAACTTTAAAAATTAAATTATTCAGGGGCTGGCCTGGTGGCACAGCGGTTAAGTTCGCACGTTCCACTTCGGCGGCCCGGGGTTCACCAGTTCAGATCCCGG